ATTGTGTAATCCTCTGAAAAAGAATTAAATCGTATGAAAAAACGATTTTCACCATATCAAAACGAATGAAATCTGAGACGATCTTCTTGGTCTAGCTAATAAACGAACTGTTAAATTGACTGAAGTGGACAAACAAGACGTTCACGAGACTGCCGGAGGGATTGAGGAGGCCGCGCAATATTCATCAACTCAGAAATCAAACTTAAAATCAGCTCTTTACAAACGCATTCTTGGTACTAATCACACCATAAATTAGGAAAAATGCAAGATTTTATTGAAGATTCAACTACCTATTGTCTACTCATACAAGAATCGTTAATGATTTTAGGATATAAACTTAATTTGAATAACACTGTACGTTCTGTTCCCCTGTTCATATATCCTAACGGAATCTCAAAACGTTTCTACCAGATCTCGGTACAATCTGCTATTTTATTTTATTTTCTCCCTTTATACACAACATATTTTGTCTTGTCTCTCTCTACATATTCACTATACTATTATAGTTTAAGGCTTCCTGCGGCGTCATTACGTCATCAAATAGTCGGTGACTTTCATTAAAAGAAACTTTCATTAGAGCGGGTTTTTTTAATGAAAGTTTCGGTACTTTCATTAAAAAACTTTTAACAGGAGTTCCATTAAAATGATTTTGATGACGCAAGAATTTCATTAAAATTTTTTGATGGCCGAAGAACTTCATTAAAAATGTTAATGAAAATCCAAGATCACTGAATAGACAGGAAGTTTCATTAAAATGCAACTATATGCTGTTTGTAAGAATAACCTGTTTCTGATGGTATTAGAGGTCTCTCATTATGCCAAAATTGGTCTATCTAACACCGGCACAAAATTGAAAATCATTATGTTAAATTGTAGTCATAATCATACAGTTGAACCATCAAAGCTAAAATATTATCCACGTAATCGTCGTCTAGATAATAATGCAATTGAAATGATAAAAAAATATGATAATCTTAAAGTTCCACGAAGTATTATACGTAACATCGTCATGAGTGAAAATCAATCAAAATTTACTACAATTAATGGCATATCAAATATTTTAGATAAGACAACTATCAACAATCTTCCATCCGAAGCTACTGCAATTGAAATAATTCTAAATGAAATGAAAACATTAGATTCAACAGCAACGGTTGATGTACCAATAGCAACAGACAATCAGCTTGAAATGATTGATATTGGAACAACACAAATGAAAGAAAATTTTAGTATTTTTTAGTAGAGAAGATATATATTTTTAGAAGATTTGAAAAATAAATTTTAGTAGAAAAGAAATATACTAAAACTTTGGAAAGTAGAAGTGCATCACCTGAACGTCCGGATTTTCCAAGTCTTCATATATAGGTCAGTAGAATAAAGTCTTTTCTAAAAAATGGTCAAAACCCAATCTCATTTCTCTTGTCGTTCTTGAGTTATTTAAAAAATAATGGGGAACACTTTTTTTTTCCGATACTATGTATTCTGTCGGTGATAGAAATGCATTTTTTGCTTTGTTTTTTAATTTTTCTTAGGACAACAAGTTGGTGTGGGATTATTACTCATGAATCACAGGATAATATACGTCGGTTACTCTTAAAATTTCAATGTACCTATCCAGGTAAAATAGAATAAGACATTCCTGAGCAATTGTTATGTAATGACCTATAAATTGTACAATAATGACGAACAAATGTTATAAAAATATATCGTACTCAAAAGTAACATCGACAATCCGCTCTTTTATGATTGTTGTAACCCAGAGAACTAATGATTTCCTCAAAAATTTAAACCTAAAAAAATATATGCAATATGATCATTTAAATGGCCAAAGTCACATTTTTGCCATTAAACTTCAATCTAATCAGCTTTTAATTAATCTAAAATTAATAACTAAAACAAGATTCAAGCTTTCTTGCGTTTATGTGCACAGATGAAAAACAAGCAATCATTGCTGATCTTTGGCTGTAATACTCGTTTCCGTTGGGAATTTTCACCTTAAAAAAAGATATAACACGCTGTGTCGGTTCTAAATGATTTACTGTGCACTGTAATTGAGCGTCTGATTTTTTGAATTTCTTTAACGGATGAAATAATGCGGATAAATTTTTTATCCCGTCTTTTTTTGTACAGATTATGAAAAAATTCAAACATTTATGATTGATAAAGATTTTAATGAAATTATTCTAATACGTGAATTATTTTCATCGTCTACAGTTTTATTATGTTATTTTCACATCATTAACTTTTAGATCTATCTAGACAATTATTTTATAGTGAAGAACAATCAAAATCTGATGTAAATGTCAGTAAATTGGAACAAGCTGCTGCAAATACCACGTATTGGACATATTTTCATCAAAATTGGATGAACTGTGTTAATCTATGGGCGTTGTTTAAACGTAAACAATCATTAACATTGTTAACTAATACCAACAATCGTATGGAATCATTTTATCGTGTTATTAAACATGAATTTCGTCGTCGTAATAAAATTCCTCATTTAAGTGAAGCATTAAATATTTTAATGATGATTCTTAATTTAAAATCTGCTGTACAAGAATTTGAAAGTGTTCGTCAAGAACTATCTTCATCACAATACAAAATACCACATATCCAGAATTTATGAAAGAATGTGAAAAGACTTTAACTGGTGAGAATATTTCTTCCATTTTCGAGGGTAACATATGCAACACGGACGGACATAGCAGGACAAAAATTTAAAATTTCTATTTGTCCGTATTTCGTAAGATTTTGCCTGTAAATTCGTTAATCAACAAGTAGATTTAATGGATCGTATTCAGCTAGAAGTTACTGAAGTGAACTCATTTGACAACAGGACGGAGGATATCGACGAACACGGTAGTAATAATAATGCTGTGATCATAAATGTTGATAAAGATAAATCATTAATTTAATAAAACATTAATACTCTATCCCAAACATGCTGCTGTTATTTTAACTCAACTATTTTATTACCGTGTTTTCATATATTTTTACCTGAAGTTTTCTGATCAACTCAAAATAAATTACTATTTAATTTCTCCACGTGGATTAGAAATCCAACAAACATGGATATTTCATTCAATCCACTTCCACATTTACACAGAACATCTGAAAAAAATGCGAATAAGAAGAGTGAAGATAAAGATGAATTTGATTCCAGTGATGATCAGCAGCATGCAAAATTTTCCAATAATAATAATGACTGTTTGAGTGTTCCAGACAAAAATCGATCAGCATGGAAAGAATTTCATATGATTAACACTTATTTGACACAACTTGGTACCAACGAGTTTTATGAACGTTTAGAAGATTTGAAAAATTTATTTTTATCTTATTTATAGAAATTTTGTTCTTTCCTCCCTGTTATTGACTAATTGGTGTTAATATATTCGAATGCGTTTAAAAAGGAGTAGTCCGCATAAGGCTTGAAATCGATCCACTAAATTATTACTATTTTATTGGCTCAATCTATCCAGAATTCATCAAACTTATCTTATTCAGCGCCTTCAACTAGTTAAGGTTGTTTGTGCACTTCTTTGCACTTTGAGGGTGAGATTTATTAAAGTGGTGGAATTTATTTTTTCATATATGATATTTGATAGAAGAACTATGAAAGGCTGCGATTTGGCTATTTCTTCAAGATTTTGCTGCATATTATTCTTATTGAAATACCTAAAATCGATCCAGAGAAGAGTTCTAGAGTACTTTTAGTAGAGTAGTAGAGATACAGAGTTTGTATTATTTATATAATAAATTGTATTTGTTAAAGTATATACAAATCCTTCAATGGTCTGACGTTCAACACTTCGTGGAACATAGATTGTTGCCGTTGAATATGTGTAAAAAATAATCCATTGTAATGATAATAGGGTTGTTACAGCAACTTGTAATAAAACCATCATTATAAATTGATTATTGATACGATTCAATCTATTTGTTGTTGAAGAAGACGGCAATGACGTTTGAACACCCTAAAGCAGTTAAAAAACACTTTTTCTGTTCGGTGGTCCACTGTTTCTCGAAATATTCCGTTGTACAAAAGTGCAGTGTATTCGTTTGATGGCTTTATCGCAAAATCGACTTTTTTTACGCTGAACAGAATCGATCCAAATTCTTTTCTGAATGGCTTATTGAATGAATGTACGGGCAGCAAAGTATTTGTCGTGCATATTATCTTTCTCAGTTCTGTTGTTGATTGAACCGCATTATATTAGGCTAAAACAACTGCTGTCCTCAGACACCAAAAACTGGTCCTAAAACGCGTTTTTTTGATTAATTAACGGTCAAACAATGCGTTCTAGAACGTTTGAAAGCGTGTTTTTGTACGGTTTTAACGCAAAAATAACACGTTTTTAAAGTATTGAAAAGAGTGTTTTAACGCGTTTCTGAAACACGCGTGACAACGAAAAATGAAACAAAGGTTATGGAACGCGTTGTATCCCATAGAAAATGAGTCAAAACAACGGGAGTTTTGTAACGCGTTCTTGTTTTGCCGTTTCTAGGGATTGTTTTGTACCTGGGTCTAATTATTTAATAGATGTAGACTCGAAATACATTAGAATATCCAACAAAGTAGCTTAAGTTAAACATTTTCAACTTTATATGATGTGTACAAAAATTAAATGTGTGTGCCAGAATGAATGATAATCTCAGTATATCCTGAATAAGGTATAAGTATAATCGGTATAAGTATAAGTAGTAGCATGCTACTACTTATACTTATACCGATACACACTGCTGTATGTATCAGTATCGGTATTCACCACCTTCTGTCACTTAAACTTCAATTTTCTTTTCAAATATTTTCTGTTTCATTTCTCTACAAAAACATATTGTACGTTTTGTTTACCCTGTAAAAGTAAAGGAGTTGTAGTGGAAAAATGTAGATCTTCAAAGCGATCAACTTAAAGCCTAAAAAACAATATTTTTTACGTTATGCGCTAAATGGTTTGCACTCTCACGCGACAGGATTAATCTGGAAAAGTTTTAATTACAGCTGAAAAATCGACCTTTTGAGAGGCTATAAAATGTTTATTAAGCCTTTCGTATCTCACGTCAGACAGTAATAGTGCACTGGAAAAAATAAAGTGTGTAAGTGACACACATAAAGTGAACGCCAAGCCGATTCCCAGTGGCCGTCTAGAACATACGGCGTAGGTGTGTAAAATACACGCTGAGAAGTGATCTACTAGCTTTACGCATTGAGATCAATAATGCACTCTAAATGTCTAAACCGTTGCGCTGGAAATGTCTCAGATCGATCAATCCATTGTTCAAAATCTATCATATAGCAGTGCTTTTTTTTTTTCTTATGTGTGACAGCATATATACTTTCGAGAATGGCGATTATGATTCTGAAATCATTTTTTCGTTTGATATACTAGTTCTGGAAGCTGAAGGGATGGAAAGCTGCAGAGACCTGAAGCTGACAGAATGAAAAGTTCCAGAAACGCATACAAGGTGCTAGATAATTCTTATTATTTTCGAAAAGCATAGAAGTTAGCTCGACAAGTGCTTTTCCGCTCTCCAAATCTCATGCGGAAGGCAGAAAACGATTAAACAGGAATATTCATTCTCCCAGCTCCAAGTTGAGCATTATTACTGTATACTTACAATTCTTTGTCGACTCTGTAAAACATTTTTATACGTCTTGAAGAACATAATTAACATTAAGAATGGTTCTAACAGACCACTAAATATAATATATAGTATTGAATTGAGTAATGATTGTGTTACAAAACAAAATCCATAAGTGATATCATAGAGTATAGGTGCATGTGCTGATACAATCATACTATAAAGAATTCCAACAACAACTAAATATCTCGCGTATTGAAATTGATTTATTTTTCGTATTTTTGATTGTAATGGACAACTACATGCATAACGATCAATTAGAGATAATAATAAAAATGTTGTTGACAATTGCGGTAATACAACAAGTAAATAAAGGTAGAATTTACACAAGAATCTTGTGCCAGCAAAATAATTAATGCCCAACTGAAAAACTGAACCTAGATAAGTTTGTAATAGGTTACCATTCAAAACAAGAAAATCAGCAGTTGATCCACTTAATGAATAGAGTGAACATGTATTAGAACGTAATGGCCTCTGTAAAAATGTGATGTAATTACACAAACATCCTATATTACCAAAAACTATTAATATTATTGGTAAATGTATAATAACGTGTTGGGATAAAAATTGTAATGTTGATATTGTGAATGATGTTACAGTGTCATTCGACGACATTATTACAAATTGTAGGTAAACTTCTAATATTTTATACAAATATCTCGGATGTGTGGAACATAGATTATTGGGCAGCTACAGGCTAAGAATTAATGACAAGAATATTTATTAATTAATCGGTTTTAAAAACGAACGTTTTATGATATAGACTAGAGACAACAAGAAGTAGAATGGCTCATTGAAAAACATTTCAAAATGCTCTCATTGCTCTACTGCATTTGTTCTAAGATGGTGAAAATCATGAAAATCCGTTGTACTGAAATACGTTTTTCACCCTCAAATCGAACTCTAAACTCAAAAGTAATATATGTTGCTCGGTTCTATGTAGATATGTAGTTCTTAATTGTACAGATCACTCCTCAAAATCAGTACTGGTGTGAGTGTCGACCTAAGACTTTCGATCGCACACCGTACCTCGTTTTATTACAAAAACTAGAATCCGTTCAGTTTTGTCTAAAATTAATAATTTGGGAATTGGGATAAAAAGTTGAAAAGATTCAAATCTGTGCGATCATCTTCAGTCATAAATATTGGGCACGTTGAACATGCCAAGGAAATTTTCCTGCAAAGACTCAGTTTTTAACGCTGATTCCGAAAATTTGTCGAAAAGTTGAATTTTGATAGGGGAAATGGCAAAATACGAGCCCAGTTTCATTGCTTTTCACTGATTTCAAAACCCAATTCACAACGCCAATCGAATTTAAGAATTTCGAGATTATAATACTCTTTATCCGTACTCAGTCGAGATAATAACTGATTAAAAGACGGCTTATATAAACTTCTTAATTTAAAAAACTGAATTGGATTGTTGTTTTTGTGAAAAAGCTAAGGGGATTGAAAGCTGAGGGGATGGGAAGCTGAAAGAATGAAAAGTTCTAGAAAGCATACAAGATGCTAGATAATTCTTATTATTTTCGAAAAGCATAGAAGCTAAAAGATAACTAGGTCTAGTGAAATTTTGGAAATTTTGCGAATATTCTGAAAC